TAAACTGTAACTAACACAAGTCTTGTTAAAGATAGATTTTCATATTGTTTTTGGATGTGTTTTCTATCTACAAATTTGCCGGGATCTTTCTGGAAATAATATCTCAGGGACAATACCTGAAAGTTTTGGCAATTTGAAGAGCCTAAATGATACGTGAGTGATATAATATGATTAACTTACTCAAGCCTTTCAGTATAACATATGTGTATATGAATGAGAATTTGATGTTTGAAATGTGGGAATTTGAGATCTGAAACGTAACTTGGACACGTTGCAGTGATTTATCTGACAACTATCTGAATGGTTCAATCCCAATGAGTTTTGCTAGACTCCCTCTTGTTTCATTGTAAGTAATCGAAAGGGAGAATGATAATAAAGTCTTAAGAGAAAAGATTTATGATAATTAGGTTAATTATCGAAAAGAATTTTTTGAAAAATAAATTTTGAATGTTAATTCAGACAATTGTACAGAGAAATTCTGATTGCAAACTAAGAGTTGTGTTTACAATTTAAATGTCTTATTTATAATTGAAATTTCTAAATTTATAACTATTTGAATCAAAATTTTTAGGTTATTTTTCAGCAAATTTTATCAAGAACCTAATTCTCATTATCCTAATCGAAACTTGTGAATATCCAAACCTTATTTCATCATCCATGTTTTGCATGCATGCATCCATATAAGCTTCAACTTTCGACGAATGCATTATTCATCTCACCAATTATTCTTTAGGGACCTTTCAAGTAATCGAATAAGTGGTCCAATTCCAAAGAAATTGGTGATATTACAACTTTGGAGTATCTGTAAGTGTAAATTAGTTTTAGTTTTTGAAATTTGGTGCTTTTTTGAGAGATGGCTTTATATATGGTTTTGCTTCTTTTTGCAGAGGTTTGAAAGATAATATGTTAGAAGGACCTCTTCCTTCTAGTCTCGGAAAACTGAAGCAGTTGAGCACATTCTAAGAATATTTTGTGCACAAATTAATGATTTTCTGTTATCTCATAGGTGGATTGTAACTAAAACAAGCTAAGTATGTTATAGATAGGTTTTATATTGCTTTTGGATGTGCTTTCCATTTCTAAATTTGCGGGGATCTTTCTGGAATAATTTGTTGGGGACAATACCTGAAAGTTTTGGCAATCTAAAGAAACTAGAATATTTGTGGGTAATATAATATGATTCATCCATTCTCTATGTATCGTGCCAAACCCTTTATTTTATGAATTCTAAAACCTCTCCTAAAATTGTCTGCAATTATTTATATGGGAACAATATGTCTGGTAAATTACCCAATTTTTTTTGGAACTGGACTGAACTCCAAAACTTGTGAGTGTATTTTACTCTAGCTCATCAATATACTTGTTCAAAAATAAACTAGCTCAGTGGATTTTGATCGTTTCATGAGAGCACACACATAATAATAACCAATTTGAATTATCTAAAATACTTGCCTGCAGGGGCGGACCTAAGTTGGAGCAGCCCCCCCCCCCCAACCAAAAAAAACCCACAACAACCCAAGCTCCTCAAATACTAAGTATATGGTAGTGTGATGCAATCCCCCTCCAAAAAGTCACACTGCATCCCAATATTCTTTGGTTAAAACAAAGCCACTCTGCATCCTATTATTTATACAAATATACTTATAAGTATTATATGTATATAATACAATATGCCTACATCTCTTTCATTTGTCCTTCTTTAATTTTATTTATAAGGTAGAGAGGGAATATTTTTTTTCAGTCTTATTTATAGTACATCTCAATTTTTTCCCCAATTATTATAAATAAAAAAAAATCTCTTTTTTCAAAGTAAATTAAAGAAAGTACTTATCTTTTTCTCTTTTCAATTTAACAAAGGTATAATTGTCTATTCATTAAAACATATGCTAACAACCTCTTCTCTTATATTTAAAGATAAAGAAAGATTCTAGAAAACCTTTTAAATATAGGGATGGAGGGAGTAAACCCCCCCCCCCTTTTCAATGGTTCTCAGGATTTTCTAAGTCTTCGAGGAGTTTTGAGTTTTTTTCCAGGTCATAAGAAATATGATAATTGAATATCGAAAGTTATTTATATCGAGGGACCCAGGGACTCAAGAGCTATTCAATCATTTCATGGGATTCTGGAGTAGTTAAGGTTCTTCAAAGGGACTCTAATAATTTCCCAATCTTAAATTAATCTTTTGTCATTTTCTTATTAAAAGTTGAGCTCCTCATCGGGATTGTCGCCGCTGATGCCGGAACCCTAATGCATATCTTCTCGTCTTCAAATAACACCACCAAACCTGAACTCCCCAAGCTCTCTCTGCGCGTTGCCACTGACGAGCTATCGAAGCTTGCGGCCTACCCTGCGAAGCTTTGAAGTAATGAAAGACCATAGTGTACAAAGTGGCATCACCAACGTTGAATGATATTGAAGACAATGATGAGATGATCTGATGATCACGAGTGAGATGTAACGGATGAAGAAGTTGGAAGGCTGCGACTATTGTTTTTTTTTTTTTTAAGTTATCTATGCCATGTAAGCAAGATTAAAAAAAAAACGTCACGAGACACCTAGAGCAGGGCCCATATTTAACAGACGTCTCTTCCCTTCTAATGGCAAGGTGTAGATTGCTATGTCTTTTAAAGTTCAGGGGTAACAATGCATCAAAATGGGATTTTGGATTTTTTGGTGTACTTGAAGTTATAGTTTAAAGTCAAAAATGATCTTTAACCCTAACTTGTTTACCACTTTTTATTTTCTAATTCCTTTTTGAGAACTTCTTTTTGGCAGGCATTTGCAAGGAATGTCTATGGAAAGTCCAATTCCTTCGACCATTTCTAAGCTAACAAATTGATTGATTTCTGAGCATGCCTGTTCCTTTGTAAACCGTTTGCACACTATTCAATGGCGGTGAAATTAATGTAATCTTCAACCGAAAACAAAAAAAACGTTTTTCCTTATTGAAGATGCTTTATTATTGTTATCATTAATTTTGAATTTCTAATTCAGGAGAATATCTGAAATTGTTGTTATCATTAAATTTCAATTTCTAATTCAGGAGAATATCTGATTTGCGTGGACCAACAACAATGAGATTTCCTAAACTGGAAAATTTGAAATCATTGAATTCCTTGTAAGTTGAGAAACTTCTTGCGAAAATCTGTTTATTGCACCTCAACTAGTTTATACTTTATTGTTGCATATTTTGTTTTACTCTCAGGGTGTTGAGAAACTGTTCCATCCACGACTCCATTCCAAATTACATTGGTAAACTTCAAAGCTTAGAAACTCTGTAAGTTGCTTTATCCTCATACATAGCCAATCTAGAATCCTCTAAAGGATATCCTATATTTAACTTTAATTGAGAACCTAGTTAGTTTCTATTTTACAGATAATTACTCATATTGTTATTGACTATATTCACCAGTACTATTATTTACTATTTATTCTTCGGTTATTTTTATGAGACGATATTTGATTTGTGTTACACATGGATTGCAGAGATTTGAGCTTTAACAAGTTGATTGATCAAATACCAAACAACATGAATGACTTGGACGGCTATCTTACATGTAATGGAGCAGTTGTTATACAAGTACCCATTACTTAATTTCTTGGAACTCAATTACTCTTTTTTAATTGATTTTTTTATTAATCATATGTATGCAATTTTCTGACAGAAAAATCTCTAAGTGGAAAAATTCCTGAATGGATGCCGCAAAAGAAGCATAACTTGTTAGTAACAACGTTTTGGTTTTAATTTCTTTCCCATTACAATATAGTTCAATGCCATTAATTTTAGTTTAATTAATTACTGTAAACCCTATTAACAAAAAATTCTTTACCAACCTCATTATTTGTGAATGAGAAAATTTTTCTCTACTTTCTCTTTCAGGGATTTATCTTACAACAATTTTTCAGACTCTTCTGTTACTATTCCCAATTGTCAGCATGGTACCATGTGAACTCTCTCTCTCTCTGCTCCCATATTTTTCACTCTTAAGTCATTATTTGTTTACACCGAAACTTGGATTCGAGCATGTCATCTTCAGCAAGCACCTGATATGATTATGCCATCTTCTTGTAATTGTTCCACACCACTTTTAAATAATGCATATATTGAAACTTTTATTCATGTTGCAGAAAAACTTTCCTAAAAAGGGGCCTTCCTTGTGGTTGGAAAATCCAAGTGTAAGTGTTTAAATTAACATTGTGAATCTTTTTTTTTTTTAAATGCATGTTTGAGAATTTCCCATATAAGATATCATTTTTAATTGCTTCAACAAAAAAACTAAATCAACTACGAAAACAAGCTCATTGTGAAAGCCAATTTCAAGACTAAAATGTCCATGTCATGTGATGGTACCCATCAGTAAGATAGTGATTTGAAGAATTTGATACTTTGGCTTCTACTAGATGAGATTTTTTATTTTGTTGTTATCACTAAAAAAATGCAGATTATTCATTGTTCATCAACTGTGGAGGATCAGGAACGACATACGAGGGGAATACATACGAAGACGACACCAATCCAGATGGTATCTCATACTTTTATTCTACTGATAAATGGGCCTATAGCAGTACAGGAATATTCTTCCAAAGTAATAATGCTAATTACAAAACAACAAACAAATCTTCTCTCAACATTACTAGTCCAATCCACCAAACATGCAACGATCTTAAATTTTTAATTAAAATAAATTTTCTCCAATTGATATTTAATTTATTTATTTTAATTTTATAACAAATGAAGATTAGTAGCTTAGTAAAATTTATGCTAGTTATTATATGGAGGTCTAGAGTTTGAATCTTACTTAAACTAAAATATTAGTTTTATTTTTTGGTATATGGGAAATTACAAAAGTGCCTTTGCTTCTTATTATAAAATATTATAGTAACAATAATAAAAATATAGTGGGGGTCTTTTTGAAATTTCCCTAGCAGAGTTTGGGTCTTATTTTGTAATTTTTCCAATGCGCTAATCATTTCAAATATCTACTTCCTCCTTTGTCGGTAAGAGTCTCGGAACAGGGTGGAGAGCGTTCGCATCTGTCTCTGTTTTCTTTCGTCTCATTTCCCATCGCATAGGCTTCAATCTTTTCGTTGCTGTGCTCGTCTCCTCACCGCTGGTAAGAGTCCGTCTCTTGCCTCGCTGTTCGTCCATCTCTGTTGGGTGGAGTAAGTGAATCTCTTCCCCTGTTTCTGTTTTGTTTGTGGCTGACGGAGGTTTATGGGTGTGTGCGTGCCCAGTCTTTCTTTTTCTTCCTCCTCAGCTGCTGGACTTGCGTGTGTGTGTGCCTAGAAAGCTCAAATCCTTCCTCTTTCCGGTCTGATATTCTGCTTCTCCTTCCCCTTAAGCAGATGAGTAGAACTCATCTCTTATCGTTCGGTGTAGTCAATGAGCTGAGGACTGGCTGTTACTACTGCGCTTCTATTTGGGGTAAGACGTTGATGCTTTCTTTTTCTCCTTTGGATTCAAAAGCAGCGTGATCATCCTTTCTCTTCTTCCTCTAGCCGTAGAGTGCGTTCCTGCTCCTTAGGTTTGCTGTCATAATTTTGAGGAAATTAAACTATATTTGGGTTGGTGCTGCGTATTACTGTTTTAACTTGGTGATGAGCTGAATATGAATGATAGAGTTGATGTGGTAGTTAGTTAGATTTGTTGAAGGCCTACTGTGAACTGAACTTTGATGAATGCGCTCAATATGTTTGTAAAAATGCTTGAGGGAATGATGTTAAATTATCATAATATAACTTGAAGGAATATATGTGAGTAGTGGCTTTAGCTAAAGATTGAAATTTTAAAATATCGAATGAGGAGTAGGGATTACATAAGATTTTTATATGACACTTTATTAACTTTGAAGGAAGCATGATAATAATGACATGATTTATTCTGATTTGTGATTAAGGATGGGTTACAAGGAAGTATAATGATGGATTAAGGTTTGTCAAATAATTTAATTCACTCAAGAATACTTGAAATGGAATACAGTGCTATCTAAATTACTGCTTTCAAATTATGAAGTTGTTTATAATTTAGTTTATATTATGTTTTAAGGTATTTGAACATGAAAGTTGAAGGAGATATGACTATTTAATTTTCATATTAGAACCATGAGGAGTTATATATGCTACTTGAAAAGTATGTCTTCACATACATTGTAAAGTTGATATACCTAGTGGAATTTTACAACATCTAAAGGGAAATTATTAGACTAAATGATGATCAAGATTTTGTTAAACTTGGAATAAGAGTAGTATTAATGGGTTGGTTGAATGTTTCCTAATGTTGTTAATTATTTGATAGAAGTTGCTGAAGGATTATAAAAGATTTAAGAGATTAATGAGAAATTTTAGGACTTAGCATAGATTTTGAATGTTAGTTTTTGTTTGTTTATTATAAGAAAGAAAATTTGTGATATAAAATGTGTTGGTTTATATGCTAGACTAATTTGGGGGCATCATTGGAGTAAGCAAGAAATTGAGGGAGTCTGAATATAAAATTTTTGAACGCTCAGGTGAGTGGGTAGCATTTCGAATCAATTTCTAAAAAAGTGTTTAAGATTCCTTTAGTTAAATTTTACTATTATTCATTTATAAATTATGCAAATATTCTTGTTTATCCTATTCTTCCAATAATTGTTTTATTAACGCATATATTTTTATCTTATTGATAATTTATATTGTTGATAAGAAATGATTGAAACAAATTATGATAAATGATGTTATTTCTCAAAAATACTTTTAAATACTTAATTCTATGTAAATATAAACATTTGCAATGCAACAACTCATATATGGGAAAAATGATAAAAATTTTGGACAAATGAAAATGATAGTTGAACAATGTTTGAAAGAGAAAATTTTAAAATTGTTTTATTGCTTCGTACATGTTTGATTTTTTTTTTTTTGAGGAGGACTGAGTTCAGAATGCTGGATGCCAACAGCAGTTCCGTTAGCTCTTGGCATGCCATGATACACCTAGCTAGGAGGGTTTTTATAGAAGGTGCTAGCCCCATATAATGGCCAATGAACGTGGAACAGAGGGATGGTTATTTGTGAGTATTGTATTCACACTTGTTTTCGTAGGCTTCATGCCTATGTTTGTTTCATGGCTTTCAGCTGCGCTTGATTGGTTACTTATCCTTGTGGACTGTGTATCTATGCTTGTTATTCGTTCTAATAAGACCCTCCTAAATTTAAGTTAAAATTTATTATTTCTCAAGTAATTCTCTAAAAGTACTTTATTGTACTACACTATTATTAAAAATTTATATTTTATGGAAGAAATTAATAAATTTATGCAATTATGTTAGCAATGTTTAATTTTCATGATTATATTATTGAAAAATTATTATTTATTTTTTAGTTTAGTTTATGATTCATTAGTTCATTAAGTCACTTTGAGCATATTTTATTATTTATTATCTTCATATATTTTTGTTATAATTTTTATTGGAACGCTACTCATCGGTTATTTCTTTAGTCTTAAATATGATAGCTGACCCTGCAACCTCCAGTAGATTACTAAAGGGCCATTTTGTTTTTTGTTTTTTGAAAAAGAGGAGGCATATTGTGATTATTGTTGGGTAAAACTCTCTATTGTATTTTGTAGTCATAGCCTAGTGCTCCACATACACCATACTTAAGTCCTAGTCTTATTTTGTTGTTATGTAAATTGCGGGAATGGAGTTAGTCACCTTGTTGGTTTGGTTGACAGGTTTTGTTATTGTGAAAATTTTGAAAGGTCCAAATTATAAGGGAGCTCTGTTAAAATTTTTACAAAATGCTTAAAGCTTTATGAACTTTATTGCTATGTATAACTTACATATAATAATTTAGTTTAGTTTTTTATTAGTCAAGACTTATGGAATATGAATTTACCTTATATTTTATGCCGATCACATCTTTAGTATCAGGGTGTGAAAAAATAGCTCACCTTTTACCTTTGTCTCTCACTACCATGGCCTTTGTATGCATAATGGAAATTACAATGTCAAACTTCACTTTGCTGAGGTTATGTTTTCTCAAGACCAGAATTTCAGCAGGCTTGGAAGGCGCATTTTTGATTTTCAATTCAAGTAAGTCTCATCATTGGAATCTAATTTCTTCTCTAGTTATTAGAAAATCCAATTGAGAGAAATAAATATTGTGGGATGTCTCACCCATCAAGTAAGCTCACCACCATGCCTAAACACAGTCCATATCCATGATTGGACTAAAATGTCAAGTGAATCCGTTGATCAATCTCTCTTTCTCTCTTATAAATGAACTTTTAAAGGATTTATTGTTATATAATGCTTCATCATGCTTTCAACTGCTTTTGCCATGATAACAAAAGTTCTGAGAGTTTGAAACTTTTGTATATGTATATCTGACAGGATATGAAACGTTTGAGTGATTTCAACATTATAGAGGAAGCTGGCGGTGTTGGTAAGAGCACTGTCAAAGAATTTAATCTTGATGTGAATGATAACACCTTGGAGATCCATTATACTGGGCTGGAAAAGGAGCTACAACTATTCCTGAATATGGTGTATATGGACTTCTCATATCTGCAATTTTAGTCACCCCATGTAAGTCAAATCTCCTATTTGAGCTAAGTGATGACCCTTTTGATTTTGATATGAATAATAAGCATTTCTGCATTATTTGTTCTAGACTTTGAAATTCCTTCAGAAAGGTTTCTACTAGAGCCATTCCAGGGATTGTGGTTGGATCATGTGTGTTCTCGATCCTAATTATACTATTTGTCCTTCGAAAGATGGGTTTTCTAGGTGGCAAAGATTCAAAAGACAAACGTAAGATAAAAATTTAAAATAATAAAACTGACTATGGCATGCAAGTCAAGTGCATCAACATTGATTTTTGCGTATTAATGTGATTACTGCTTGTTTCTTGCAAATTCAATGGGTTCTTCTTTCATTTATGTAACACATGATGCAGAGTTCCTAGATCTTAAAATGGGTTATTTCTCTTTAAAACAAATCAAAGATGCCACCAATAACTTTGCCCCAAAAAATAAGATTGGTGAAGGAGGTTTTGGACTAGTGTACAAGGTAATATTTTACCTATCATATTTATATTTATATTTAATTAGGATTAAATATTTGACCAGTGTACAAAGTAATATTTGACCTACATCAATGATGAAAATTGAAACTAAGCAATTGATTGAATTGCAGGGTTGTAATAACCCAAAAATATTAAACAAAATTAAAATATATAATAATATTTTAAATATATAATAATATTTTAAATATATTTTTATTAACTTTAAAATAAATTTAACACGATGAAATTGGTGGTTGTTGTAAGGACTTAAAAAAAATGAAGTAAACTAAAATTTGTAATTAAATAGTTCAAGTTTTTTTTAATTAATTATGAGATCAATTTATCAAATTTTGGATGGCTCAATGACAATTTTCGTTGGTAAGGGAGATTTTTCTTTAATTTTAAAATTACTAAATGACCCTTAAAGAAAAGACTACACCTATCAGATATTTTTCCTCTCTCTTCATTTGTCCTTCTAGTGTGTTCGAATGGAAAAATTTCAGGGGAGAGAGAATCAGATATTGAGAGTGGGAGAACCGTCTTCTTCTTCCTCCTTCCCATTCCTACGAATCAGAGAGATCGAGTCTGGCTTCAAACCAGGAAAAAAAAAAAAAAAACCACAGCCACCTAGTTCAGTTCGCCACCAGTGCCTGCGTTTATCAATAATCTGCCACTGTTGAGATCAGAGCCACAAGTTCATCGTCTCCCTGCTTCACCGCCGGTGCCTTACTTTCCCTCCCTTTCGTTCAACATTAAAACTCAGATCTTCTCCCCTATTCTCCGTCACCGCGGTGTTTCTGTGACTAGGGGGAAACTTCGAACTTCTCCCCCTCCTCTGTCCGCGATGTCCGTTGGCGTGTACGGGCCTTGAGTTTCGGTTCCCTATGTCAGATTATTCTTTTTCCTGGTTTAGCATCAATTTCTGTATTGGTGAGTTAACCTTATCTCCCTTCCCTACCTCACATGGTCTGTGTGCGTATGATTGTGTTGGGCTGCTGAAATTGGAATTTTCTTTCTCCTATTAAAGATGCTGATTGCGTGCAATGGTGGATCGTATGGCATTCTTTTCAGAATTTGGACTGACTGTTATGAAAGAAATTTGAAGAGGAAAGAGTTTGGTATTAGCTTGAACTTTAATGCAAACAGGGTGTTTGTCAGAATGTTCGATTGAAAAATTTTATTCAAAAGAGTGGCTAAACTTGACTGGGTTAATCACAGTTAATTTTATAGTTTAGGTTCCCTGTTTTTCTGACGTTAATATGCTGATAAGCTAACGAGTGTATCTGTGAGTATCATATGTCTGTTGGCAAGATTTGTTTTTACTAAATTTTTTTTTTTCAGTAATTGGTTAAGGATCAAGATGGATGATAGGTGGTAATTTGTAAGTTGCATGACCATGATAAAGTTTTGAAGTGTTTCTTAAGTAGCTTGAACATATATTTTAAATGCAATTGACGCTGGGTGATTTATCATATTTATCTATATGGGGGAATCTATTAAATGGGTGAATTTAATTGGTGCCCTTATAATGTGATCGGTAAATGGAAGTATTGACAATAGATGTTATTGGAAGGAGATTGGAAGAGAGAAGAGGTTGATATTTTAGTTGAACACTAGTGCTTACAATGCGTTTGGTAAAGTATTTATTGAAGGAATTTTAATTTTATAGTGGTAATAATATATGTGATGCTTATATTGTTGTTAAAAAAAAAAAACTATAGAAGACACTTATTCTTTATAATGAAAATTAGAGTTGAAATTTGAGATTTTGGAAAAGATAATTTGATTGGTGAATCGAGGGTCAAATTGTTGTATATGTATTCATCCTTATTTTAGAACACTGTGGAGTGTTGAAGTTAAGATTGATGTCTTTTATTGTATTTTTCTAAATCATTTTATGTTGAATATTTTTACTGATAAAAGCATATGAGAGGGAATGACAATGATATTAATTGGATACTAGGAAATTAGAGACAAATCATTGATGTAAGAGTGCCAATTAAGAGAAAGCTTTATAGTTGGGAAATATGTCAGGTAAGTGGATAGCGTCCCAACTGATTTTTTTAATCAAAATTTCTTTTACTGTAATATTATGTTTTTCTGAAAATCATTTTAATAGCATTAATGCAACTATTGAATATTTGTTGATTAATATTATTTTATTTTGAGAAATTAGCTTTACCAAATTTGAAATGTTATTTGATCAATTAAATCAAGTTTGGACTTTGATTATGAGATTTTTATTTTATCAAATATTGGATTGATACAGAGAATGATTCATGCGAGTTTAACTTTGAAAATTTAATTTTTTTTATTATTCAATAAATGCACGTATGAGCATTAGATATGAAATTTTATTCTAGCAAGTTTTAATGTTTAAAAGTATTCATGCGAGTTTGATTTTGGGAATGATAACTGTATCTTGAAAGTGATGATTTTCTCACATGTTTGAAAATAGTTTTTTTTTTAAAAGGGATTTTATACGGTACACTGGTTGCTAACAGTAGTTCCGTTAGCCCTTGGCGCGCCATAGTACACCTAGCTAGCAAGGTGCTTATAGGAGGTGCTAGCCCCGTGCGATGGTCAACACACGTGGAATGGAGGGATGATTATTCGTGAGCATCGTACTCACGTTTGTTTCATGGTTTCAAGCCGCGTTTGGTTAGCATTACCCTTGTAGAATGTGTGTCCACATTTGTTTCGTAGCTTCGGCTGCGTTTGGTTATTTTTACTCGTGGACTGTGTGTCCGCGTTTGTTTTCGTAGTATAAGCCGCGTTTGGTTATTGACCCTCGTGAACTGTGTGTCCACGTTTGTTAATTATTTTGATAAGTCTCAATAATTATGAATCCAATTATTTGATGATTTTATATTCCATTGATTTTATTCAGTAATTTATTTATAAATATTTATTTTATTTATGTGTTTTCTTGAAATCAGATGATATTATTATTTGCTACGATATTTCAATGATTTGAGATTTTATTTAAATTTTTATATAGACATTTTATTATGAATTTTATTAAATTTTTACGGAAATTTTTGTTTCTTTAATTTACATTACTATTTTGAACTGTTCATTTTATTTATGTTTTATTATTCATTGTTGGGGCGTTATTTACTGAAAAAAATATTTTTTTCTCAGATAGCTTGTACCTCTATCAGATCATTCAAGGAATTTTGTTACTGCATTGAAGTTGAGATGCCATTTTGGTTATTCTCAATTTTTTTTATGCATGTAATATATTAATCTATATATTGTACTTTTATAAATAATTGTTATAGGTGCTCCTTATAGCCTATGGTTGAGGTCTTATTTTGTAGATATTTTGTCTGCTAACTGAGCTCCTAGATTTTATAATATTTCTTTAAAAATTTGAATGGTGAAATTTTGGGAAATCCTATTGTCGAAGGAGATAAGACTTCATATTTAAAATAAAATAAAATGGAATATCCTTGAATTAGGTTTAAGGGATATGTGTTTAGGTGCATATCTCGTGCCGGTCACTCTCGTTTTTTAGGGCATGACAAGGGTGTACTATCAAATGGTGTTGCGATAGCTGTGAAGCAACATTCGTCCAAATAAAAGCAAGGGAATCATGAATTTGTTAATGAAATTGGAACTATATCTACTTTGCAACATCCAAACCTTGTCAAGCTAATAATTAGTTTCTATATTTTGCAGTTTAAATGTAATGTATAATTAACGCAACACAACTTTGTTTTATATTTATATAAATCTTATTTTAATTGTGTGGTCTTTAAGTCATCAGTTAACAGCAAGGGAGATGCCACATGGAGCCAAGGATTAATCCCGTTTAACCCTTTTAATTTGTCACGCGTAAATAGCTTGGCCAAATATAAAATGATTTAACTGTGAACTGGTTTAGATTAGATTCACATTGCACTGTTTTTTAAAAGAAAAAAAATGAGGGTGTAAATTGCTTCAACTAAAATTTAATATCAAATGTGTTTAGAGGAAAAGTTTTGAAACGAATTTGCCCAAAACCCATAAAACAAATGTGTACAATGGTAGAATGAATTTAAATATAAGAATATATAGTAAGTGACTGCTATGATAGAATCAAAATTCAAAGTTAAAGGTCTACTGTAATAATAAAAAGAAAATCATATATTATTAAAGTATAACATAACACTATCATAATAGAAAAAAATTACTATGATAGAAAAGATTTAAACTCCCTAACTTAAAAAAGACACCAATTTTTTACAAATACCGTTTAATTTAAGAAAATATCAAACAGCTTTTTTTCAGTAAACCAAGTTGGGATGGAAAATAGATTTAATAACAAATGGCTTAGAATACATTTGAAGCCCAAAATATACAATTTATCTCAAAAGGCCACACCATCACATTCTAAACAATATTTGCACTCAAGAATCCATAACTAAATAATTCATTTATTTTCCTCTTCAAAAGAGGGCAATCAACCAAAAGTCAAATTCCACAAATTAATATGCTACAATAAGTTACTTTAAACAAAATTATTAACTATTTCTAACACAAAAAATAAACAAGTTGTTTCTAACATTCCAAAACAGTCAGCTAATTCTCACAACACTTCAAGAGAACCTTTATAAAATTGTTTTAAAACCCATCCAAAGCATTCTAGTTGAAATAGTGCAAGATATTGAAAATATATGTTAAACATAGTGCTATATTTCATGGCAATAAAAATGTAACAATGACAAAACAGTAACATGCAGCAACATAAAATGTATAAACCTTGAGCCATGCATAAGGCTCAAACCCTCTTGCTTCCTCCGTTGCATGGCCTTAGATGGATTCTCACCTTCAGATCTAAGGTCTTAGTAACCATAATTTATTTAGATATACAATAGAAAATTAGAACACTGAATATAATTTCTTAAGTTAAATCAAAATGATTTATAAGTATAATCACTCTTCAATATATTATTATTCATTATAACCTTTCAGTATCTAGTTCTTGATCCATTTACAGTTTATTATTTTCAAACACAAACATATATTAAGCAATAACAGTTTATAGTAATAGTTATCTCAAACTTTTTTACAACTAATAATATCCACGCTCCTTTTCTCGAGCCATTCACAAACACTTTGACATTATTATTTATTGGACAATTACAAGTTATAAATATCAAAGATATCAAGCCTGACAACGATTGATACAAATGCTCCCGTACAACACCTTTCATCCTTATTTTGCTAACTGGAGCCATAGGTTAATGTACTAAGATTCATCCATTTGATTGAATTACTCCAAGCTCCAAATCAAGAGGCATCAACCAGTCATGATTGGACTATGGCTCCCCTCTTTTTGGAGAAACTGAGAGGCATCACATTGTATTAACTTTCCAACTTATGTTATCAATATAATTCTATCAACTCCGCAGTAAACCATGTGCATCTAAATAAGCATTCACATCCAAGGCATGCATGTGCTATTCCAAAAAAAAAACATATAAATGTGGTTCCAATACAAGATTCAGAATTTACACATCTTTTTCAATATTCATCAAGTTAATAATAATAGGTTCAACTCTAAGAAACATCTCAAAATAAAAACAACAACAACAACAACAACAACATCAACAACAACGGCTTATACATACCTCACCCAAAAAGAATAATAATAATAGCGAGATCAGTGACACCTAGTCAAAAAAGGGATTCTGACATAACATCTTTGACCAAAGAAAAAATGATTCATTTTATAATGCAATAAGAGATGAAATGTTACAACTTTTATACATCTCAAAGCGGTGCAAAGGAGAGACTATTTTATATGTAGCCATATAGTTTATCAACTTCTGAGGGTGTATTTTGTATTGAGTAAGCCACTTCACTTTCCACATTAAAAAATAAATAAATAAAGGTGAAGGCGTTCACATGGCGAACACTAAACACCTTCCAAATGAGTTGATTTTTTTTAAAAAAAAAAACTAACTTATTCAAATGGATATTCTCACACAATCGCCTTCCCTAAAAGTCGATTCCACCATACGCGGTTTCATAATGAATTATAAAAGAATTAATTTATTGAGATCGATTCTCACATGATCACTTTTCATAATTTCTTTTTTTTATAAAAAAAAATCGATTCTAACTTGTGCGAAAGTTTAGAATACGCAGTATCTTTAATATTATAACTTAAGTCCTTTTAGCTTTTTTTTTTTTTGGTACATGATGTGTTGCCAGCTAAACTTGAATAAATAAATAATCTTTTAATGTTGTGCACTATTGCCTGAAGCTTTGAAATTATAAAATAAAACAACTGGATTCCGATCCAAATTTACAATATATTTAATAAAGATAAAGAAGACGAAAGCAAACAAAGATGACAGCCATTGTTGCTTAATAATTCGTGCGTGATGGGCATGAAAGTCACTTTTAATTAAAAACTAAAAGTTATAATATCATAATTCGTTCTAACATCATGATTCATCAGTGATGATCATGTGACAATAGTGCCTTAAATCATGAATATATGTGGGTCATTTAGATTAAAAATGGACAACTACTCCCTGCTGGCATCACATTTAGTGTTTCAAACAAGATTGCATCCAATTTGTGAGTAATTAAAAAAAATGAACGACTACAAATTCAATGTTATTTCATTTTTATATATTTTTATTTTTTTTATAAAGATCGGATCTAAATAGAAAAAATTTTCTGATTATAATTTTTTTAAAATAGACTAATATATAAAAAAATCTCTAACTTTGGTTTATTCCATTTCAACATCTTGACCTTTAAGTATTTAAAATTAAGACCTTGAAGTTTCATATTTTGACTATCAATTACCCTGTTGTTAAATTTAACAGTTTATTCAATTTTACTTTTTTATTTTAAAGAATTGAGTATATGCCATGTTATACTCTAACAAATGACACTTTTTTTGACATTAAATTTTAAGTGTTTTAATTATTTTAGTAAGATTTTTAAAAAATACCTAAAGCCAATTGTCATATTAAAATAGCACTTTTACGGTAATCACAAAATGGCTTTATGCATTTTCTAAATCTTCATAAAATAATTAAAATTCCATGTTGATGCCAAGTTCTATGTGTTAGAGAATATGCTCAATTCTTTAAAAAAAAATGCGAAATGGCATGAACCGTTAAATTTAATAGCAATTTTAATGACAGGAGAGTTGATGGATAAAATATGAAAGTTCAGGGTCTTAATTTTAAATATTTAAAGGTTAGTGTGGAGATAGGTACCTCATTCAAAGTTTAGGCAAGTTTTGTATATTTTAGTCAAAAAAATATTATTTAAGAATTTAAAAATTTTAAAGTTAGAATGTGATAACTAACCCATGTTGTCCTTTACTCTATTTGTCCTCATCTATTCGTTCTTGTTTTTGTTTTTGTTTTGTTGGGTATTGGGGGTAGGTAGGATTCCTCTCCTGTGGTAATCCCTTGATAATAGGAAAAAGATCTGCCAATCAGTAAAATAAAATGAAACAACAAATTTGAATGAAAGCATTAAGTATTATTAATTGAAATTGCTGAAAAATGAGTCTTAATCACTTGTAATCAATAAGATCTGGTAATTTTTTTACATTATATATAAATTAAATATGATAAATTTAAATTCATGAACCAATCAAGGTTGAGTGTAGCAAAAATCATTAACTCCTTATAACGAGTTGAATTAAAGTTTAAATTTCTACTATGAGTACTATTCATATTTAGTACTTAGACTGTACATCAAGCACACATGGATGTGTACAGACGAAAACATATATAAAAGGAAAACAAGGTCTCGAACAACTATGTCCATAGAAAGAGCAGGAAACATATAAATCAGTCGATTGGCAAATTTATCTGATGAAATAGAAAATTTTATCTCAGAAAACATTTTTTTTTCCTTACATTCAAGGGGAACAAACTATTTTTATCGTGTTTCTGTTATCATTGTTAAAAAAATAGTAAATAGAATGTCATTTAAGCGGTAAGGATAAAAAAATTAAATTACCCAAATTATCAATAAATTTAAAAAATTCAAATGCCTTTTAGTGATTTGAATGTGAATTTATTAGCATGCCTTTCTAATAAAATAACGAATCTCACTTCAAATTAATGATTAAGTTATTGCAAATCAGAGAAATAAGAGTATCAAACTAGAAACATGAGTAACCATTAAAGTCATGAAAACTATTTCTTTTCCTTCGTAAATAGATGTATCTCATTGCAAATTAATAGTCAAAAAGTTGCAAATAAAGAATGACCAGTGTACCAAATAATGTTGTGGTTATGAAGTTGTAAATTAAGAAATAAGAATGTCACACATTGAAGACCTTTTTCAAATCTTGTGGTCAACAAATGTTATTTCTCCTAATAACTATTTCATATTTAAATGTAAACATATGTTAAATTATTTTATTTTATTTTTACTTTTTTTCAACTGTCTCTTAATTATGTCTTGTTGTTTTTTTTTTTAAAGTAAGCCAGACACATTTTTTAATTGCTTGGAGTTTCAACAATGTTATATTATACTATTCACATTTAAACATGCTTCTGCTTATTATAATTTTCTATTCCTCTTTATTTAAAAAATTTTGTTTTTTTATTCCAAACTAGGAAACCCGTGAGAATCTTTTGACTTAGCTTACTCTTCTTTTCTCCCCCCAAGTACTACATTTTCCATTAGTTGCAATTACATGGTTCTTCTTCTACCATCTTTTGCTTCTTCTTCTTCCTCCTTCTTCACACCTCTCAAAACAATCAAGTCA